ATCTTTCCACAAGCTCAGAGCAGGGAGTGGGTAAGCACCGATATTTTTTGACTTCTGAGTTTCTGGGTTTGCTCCCTCCTTGACGCCACACTTTCCTTGATTAGGTCTTTTCCCTTACTCTCCTTTTCTTAACCCACCCACCTTTCGTACCCTTCTCTATCTGCTTCTCTTAACTCGCACTTGTTCACTCTCATTTAGGAGCTCATTACCGCAGGGTTTCTGCTCCCCCCCTTCAGCTGCTTTATTTACAGCCTCTGATTACAGTAGAGTTGTCCCACCTTAGCGCACCCTCCACGCTCACTCAGCCCATGTTGCAGCAGGAACACAGAACCCCTCTTTCCTGGGCAAGGCTGTTTTTTAAACTTTTTAGAAAAATGAAAATTCTCTTCTCTTGCTGGTTCTTTGGAAAGAATGGGCTAATAATCCTTGTTCCATCAGATCATGCAAGTATTTTGTTCTACCTTGACTAGGACACTCCAAATACAAAGCTTTCAGGGAACTTGCGTTGCTTCTCCACACTCTGGGCTGTGGTGGCAGCGCTGAGTGGCCTTTGGGAGCGCTCCGGGCTACGGCTACTCCAGCAGCAGCAGCGTTAGCCGAGATGAGAGCATCTGGATGGTGAGAAGGCCACCATCGCCTTTCTCCTTAATCTTCAAGGTTAACCTTAAGGGCTTCCTGGACTGCTCTGGTGCAAAGGGAGAGCACGCCTCTGGCAGTGAAGCCCATGTCCTACGCGTCTGACCAGGGCACGGCGCTTCGTTTGAACTCTTCCCATGCCTATGCGTAGGGCTGAACAGCTTCACACCCCGTGGCCCGTCACCAAAACGCTCTCCCCCTCCAACCACCTCAGCGTGACGTTCAGGTTGTGATTTCACGGTGCAGCGTTCCATAGCAGTGGTAGTGCTGGGGATTCGGGCTTTGCCTGTGTGTTCCCTTGGTCCTGCTCCAGCTTCTTCACTTCTACAGCATTTCCAAGCTGTGCTGAGAACCGCAAAGGAGTTCAGAGAACTTTGGGACAAGCGCCGTAAACCACACGCCTACGCGCTGGCTGTATTCCAGGCCTGCTTTGTATCCCACTCCGCCAATACTCCTTCAAATCAAATGTAGCCTTCGTATCCATTCAGATGATAAATTAATTTTATTGTAACCAAGCGAACAACAGGCATGGTGAATGGATGCCACACATCGGGTATGGCTGAGGTTCTGAAAGAGGAAATACGAAAAGGGAGAACGGCGACTACGGAGTACGTGTGCGCCGTGAGATGGGGAGCAGAGGTTGAGGGAGGCTGAGAAAAGGGAACGTGTCTGGCTTGCCTTGCCTAGATCTGCTTTGCTGTGATAGAGGAAAACCAGTGACGGGTTTAGTGGAGTAAGCGTAGCCCAGCAGTCACGCATTTTTATGATAACGCAGCACATTCAAACCCACAAACACGCTGCTGCTTGGGTTCCAAATGCAGAACAGCTCCGACCTGTAACAGCAATTACCCATGTAATTCCCTGCCCCGTCCATTGGCAAACCGGGCGCTTCCCGAGGAGTTTTTTGCAGCAAGGCCACTGTTTGCGTTGGGCGCGCTGCCACGTGTACAGCACAGGCTTTGCTGCCCAGAGGTTACAAAGTTCAATCTTAACACTTGTCCTATTCCTGCCTGCATTTTCTAATGATCGTATTTTTCCAATATTCAGCTAGAAACACCGGCAAAATGTCAGTAGGAAAAAAAAAAAAAATAATTAAAGAACTAATTCAGTACTAAATGGTACCTGCGAGTCCAGTCACAGGGGCTACTGAGGTCACAGGCTGCGGGCCCTGGTACGCACGCGCTCTGTAGCTCCTCCTCCTCTAAAGGAACGAGTTTGATGTGTGAGTACAGGTCACCCGTTCCCATTCACTGCAGCAGGAGCAGGTCTGACTGCAGTCATCATAAACCAAAAAGGGGACTCGGAAAATGACTTGCAAAACTGCATTTAAATTAAGACCGGAAGTTAAGAGCAAAGAGCAGCGTCCGCGGAACGCTCTTTTTGCATAATACGCATTATGAGGATAGTAGGGTAGTATTAAATGATTCATAACGACACTTTCCTCTGGAAATTACCCCTAGTAAGTGTCCAGTCTGGTGAAAGGTCAACTTTTGAAGTAAGACGGCTTCCAAAACTGAGGGGGGAGCTCAGCACGAACAGTCAAAGAGCCTGCTGTGGCACAGGATGAGGCGCACGTGGTTTCACTTCCAGTCAGACCAAACCCGAGACTCGGACTTGCCCTACGCTCTCTCCAAAGATGGCGAGGAGCGTGCTCAAAGCCACGCGTGGCCTTGGAACCGCTTCAGTCAGATTCCTCTTGTCTGCTGCGAGGACAAGAGCTCAGGCCTTGGAAAGGGAGGCTGGTTCTTTCTGCATTACCCAAACATTCCCAGCAGGATAATGTTCCTAAGTAAGAGATGAATAGGCCTCGGATACGCAACAACTGCAGTTCAGTTCCTAGTGAACAGCAAATACTGTCTGGCGGGGGCTTAAAGATCTCAGATTTTTTACCTGAGAAGATTCCAGAAGTAAAACAGGAAAATATTTTCATAGGTCAGGTGATCAATGTCAGCAAAGGATAATTTCTCTAAGTTAGTTCACAGCATCTCTAGATACTGAAAAATACTGAGGGCTGAAGTCTAATAAACATTTTTGTACACCTAAACCGCTAAAAATATCCGGAGTAGGTAAAACCCATACTTAATCTGCTCCCTTCTAAGGCCAAGAAGCACTTTAGAATAATCATCTTCCACAGACATCTCTTGCTGGGCAAAGAAGCGCACAGGGAAGCACAGAAATCCATCACGTGTGTTACAGTCTGGTCCGTTAAAATAAAATCCATTCCTACAGCGTCTCACGTCCTCGGGACGGGAGATCAGCCAGGCTAGGGAGCAGGCTTTCAGCAGCCACAGGGCGGGCTTACTGCCGGCTCCCCACAGCACGGCCGGGTCTGCGGAAAGAGAGGGAGCGCCTGGAGCCATGGCTGCGGTCCCCGATCTGTAGGTGCTGCTTGCCTGTCCAGAGGGAAACATCAGAGTCAGAACTGCGCAAGAACTTGAGTTTAATGACATTTTATTGATTCTTTTCCATGGCTGAGACCTCTCACAAGCCGCATGAGGAGTCCTAGGCCAAAGCTTTAGTTGTGCTGTCACTTTGATCTGCTACGTGCGCGCCGCTGCTGATTCACCCCCCCTTTCTCTGCCCTCACTTACTTATCCCTGTCCCTCCCTTACGCTGGAGCAAGCATTTTCTCTAGCTCTGTAGTAAACTGATCTGTATTAAAAATGACATGATTTCTTTAGTTTTGTTTCCTGCAGCAGCGCTGGTACTTGTGCCAGTGCAAGCAGAGTGCCTTTACGATAGCACTGCTGTTTATGCATGCTTGGGGAGTTACACTGCAATTCTACTCCCTGCAAATTCAAAATTCAGAACTGAATTCCAGAAATTAAGGGCAGAAATTCTCTAAATACAGTTCTGTCTCACTGAGGCGACCGTTTTCCGTGATTTTTGCTAGTGCTGCGTCCACAACACATCAACAGCACATGCAATAATGTTAAAATAGGAAGTCTGTACATGGCTGTTCCAAAACTGCCAAGTCATTCTGGCTTTCTGCATACTAATTTATGCAGGCAGGCCCAAAGCTGTCTGCATGGAACAGGGCCAAAAGCCTTTGTGCTAAAAAATATGTATTAAAAAAAGGAGTATCACTGGCTCAACTCTTTGAAATACCCCGAATACAGGACCGAAGAACACACGCATGCAGGCTAGCAACAGACAGGGAGCTCCACCGATGCGTTTCGGCAGCTCCCTGGATCCCACCCGCTAGGAGAGGCTACGGGGCAGGAGCAGGATCTGGGCCTTCACCAAACACCCCTGACCCCAAAGCAAAGGCCTCATCTACCCCCAATCATCCCCTCCACACATCCCACAAAGAATGGGCGCCACTGTTCTTAGTTTCTGTCACTCCATCTCCTCAACAAAGACAATCAGAGCTGTGCTGAGGTCATCTCTGATGACCCGAAGGTCACTACTGTCAGGCCAAACCAGCTATTTCCATTCAATACCAGCCAGAATCGCAGGGAAGAGTCGGTGTTCACCTCGTCAGAAAAAGTGCTGGAGAAGACTCAAGACTGTTTTTCACAGGGTAAGCAAGTGAGATAAAAGTCTAAGAGAACAGTTGCCATTATGTACTACAGGAATATTTTCATACATGAAAGATGCCAGTAAGAAGAAAATTTTCACACAGTTCAAAATTTAAATTCTTATAGAAAGTGGAAAAGTTTGGAAGAAAGGTGTTTTCATTACTATTAGAAACCTCAGATTTTACAGGCAAACTGAAAACGGTTTACTTTTTACCTCAATGTTTATAAATGGAAAAACAACATCAATTTAACGCCATTGTTCTAGTACAGTACAGGCTGGAAACACAGTAAAAAGTTCTGCCTCATCATGCCATTAGCATAAGCTGCCTTTCAAGTGGAAGGAAAATAGGAATGCCCCATGCCTAGTTTACACTAATCTAAATGCACGTACATTTGCACATGCAAAAGGACTTGGCAAGAACTGCTAAAACCAAACTGATGTTGTAGGGTTTAATTTCTTCCACCCACAAGAATCTACAGTTATAAAAGTCTGGTCTTCAAACTTTACAGCACGTTGATAGTAGCAAATACGCCACAGCTTTCCTCACTCCTCCACTTCTGTACAAATTGTATACAATAAAAAAAGTTTTGGTTTTGTTGTACAAACTCAGCTTACACTTTAGTACAGATGAAAATATTGTTCTCTGGCACCTCACTTCCTCCATGGTGCCTGTGTCCTGGCACCTCACTACCTCTGGCACCTCACTTCCTCCATGGTGCCTGTGTACTGCAGTACATCCATGCTTCTGCAATCTTCAGCTCAAGCGATACAGTACAGAGCATTTCCCATCCATGCTTCTGCAATCTTCAGCTCAAGCGATACGGATCAGCGGGCCAGAGCTTCTGCAACTCCAAAGTGTTAAATAATGAGCAAATCTCCCACTTGTTTGTATAACAATCAACAGTTTATTAATGGATATGGTGAAATTTTAGCTATCCACCAAAGATGTGTAAAAAATTGTCATGAAAGTAAAAATAAATAAAGCTGTTTTTAAAATCAGTCTTGTTTTACATCTCAGTTCAGAATGCAACATTTAACACAAAAAACTGTCATTGAAGTTTTAAAGAAGTCTACCGATATTCAAATTACAGCTTTTATGACAAATCTAATGAGAACTGAAACTGATTTGGTTTTAGGTTTAAAGACTTTCACATTCAAATACAGTGTCTCGTTTAGCACAACACTTCCTTTGACAGTGATGGGCAACAGTGATGACATATTGCTGTATTTTGACATAAGGCACTATGATATGAATATGCCATACACTTGCCTTATGTCACATATATCCATTGCTGACCAGTGACTTCTGTCAAATACAAAATGAAGAAGTTTCAGAATACAGTGCATTTTAATGAAGGACATCATGTGAAGTCTTCCAGCAAATGTTTTGAAGACATTTTGAAATACAAGCCTACATTTTAACATAAGCTTTTGTCATGCTGCTTTTTTTGCGACATCACTGGGGGGAATAGACTCATCATCCATCACTACGTCCCAATACACATTCTCAACCATCCTGCTCTGTTCTATTGCAGTCACTGTTCTTGAGACAAACTTGACCCAGAAACTTTGTTCAAGTTCTCCTACAAACGTGTGTACATTCACGGCAGTCATTCACTTTCATTCTCCTTTTGTTTGGCACCTGTCAACAGAAGAAGAAAGCACGTGTGATTGCCTCACGCGCGTAGCACTTGGCTTCTGGAAAAGCATGGCTCATTCTGGACCCTGTGACTTTGTCTGACCACATTATCTGAATCTTGGTACTGGACACCATTGATAAAGAATACGCTGCAGGACTGCTAAATGCTACCGTGAACAGAGTGAGGAAGGCCTTGAGAGCATTACTGCTTCTAAACTTCATTGGCAAGGCAAGCTAAGTAACTCTTCTGGGAAGTTACAAAGAGTGGCTTTGAAGATTCTCCCCAGCACAAAAGTTTATTTAAAAAAAAAAAAAAAAACAAAAAAACAACCCCAAACCAACCAAAAAGCCACACCCCAAACCTGTCCATCAGCTTAGAAGCCAAGCTTAATCATCGTAATAGCCTCAAAAAATGAACTCCCGCTTGCGTATAAACTACGTAAGAATTCAGTTTAACTACGGTGTTGATGGACCCATTTTTCCTGGCTCAGAGGCAGATTGTGCTTACAGCAAGGATCTGAGGCACCTGTTCAGCAAAAAAAACCGCTCAAGATTCGTGCCTCTTCTCCAAGTATGAAAACTAGCCACATGCGGGGCAAGGACTGAGCCTCATGGCTAGTCTGGCTCCAGCACCCAGCTCTAGAAGAATCTAGAATCTCTTCTACAAAATATTCTAGGAGATATTCTAATTCTTTCTGTAGTCTCTTGCCAGCAACCTGGAGTTACTACTTGTAATGTACAGTCAAACACTGAAAAATTCATTACACGCATCCAGTTTTCTCATCACAACTGATACTTTTTGCCCCTAACGTAGGCTGGCCTTAATTCCTGCCAGTCAATAAATTTTCCTTTCTAGTCTGTGAAGAGAAATGTATACTTTTAAGGCATGATTTATCCGGTCATTCCTACACATCCACTTTAAGAGGTCAGTCACACTCAGGACTCTACAAACTAGATCTACGTTGCAGACATCCTCACTTCATGAGACAAATCCCGATCTAAAAATCGAGCAGCTACCCATGGAACTGCAATCTAACGCCTGACTGCTCCTAAAAATGCTGTCCCTCACCTCATCTCTTCCAGTGGCATCATCCTGCTCCCTCTGTTGCTCTGCCCCCTGTACTCAACACTAGACTCTTCTGTGAGCCAGTTTTGTGCGCCAAACTGACAAAACTCCGCAGCTTTTTTGCTGGCTCAGTTTCCTGTTAGATCAATGAGTTAAAGCAGCTCACAGAGGGATGTCTTGAGTGTGGGTGCTGCCACACGCTAAATGCCAGAAGCACAGGGCCCAGAAGATGGGAGCAGGAACTGCCCTTTTTAATTACAGAGCACTGTTGTATCAGCTCACAGAGTTGCAACTTAAGTGTCCCTGTAATTCCAGCATAACAAAGCTCTTGGTTTGTCAGTATCCAGATTCATCTTTTCTGTCTAAACTTGGCTCCGTTAACAGTAAGATCTACCCTCCTTGGATCCTTCCACCCTCCCAGCCATGGGGGAAACTACCTCCTCTGCCAGGAGTCTCTACACCTCCCTCTTAGGAGGGACACAGACCCCTCTCCATCCTCTTTCTAGGCAATGAGCCCATTTGACCCAGGCCTTTGGGCTGATTTCTCATACTCATCCATACCTTTTACAGAAAGCTGGGTTACTTGCTCTTCCAAGTCATTTAAAAGGAACCAGATGCCCTGACATAATACCTCCAGCAGTATCACCGATTACTCCTTTTCAGAGGAAAACTCTTACTATTTTAAAAAGCTACATTAACTTTTTTTTTTTTAAATCTACACAGGAGAAAGACTTTTACATTATCCTGTTATCTATCAATGCAAGTAAGAGATCCCAGTTAAGCTCACATTTAGACTTTCTTTTCTGAAGCGTAGCTCCATTTGCTTAGTCTGATTTTTGGTTTTTTTTTTTTTTGAGGCAAAACTGTAATCCTCAAGACATTCTTTGCCTTCCTCATGAAGCCAGAAGAGGGCTTTGCTTTAATTGGGTTTTGCAGAGCTAGTGGAAAACACAGCTGCATCCACACTGGGAGCGCCTGGCCAGAGTACAGACATTCAGCAAGGTGGGGAAGGCGCCCTGGTGTAGATGCTGTCTACACATGCAACATTCAACTCCATCCTGTTTTTCCTATTAAACCATTAATCAAGACCTTTTTTTTCTAGAAAGATGCATGGACAACAATGACGTTCATGAAGCTTCTGCATGCATTCCTCATGAGAAATGAAAAGTGTATTTAAGAACTACAATCAAAGTTACAAAAGTTGAAAATCAAAAGTTTGTCATTATCAAATAAATTAAAACCAGCGGGGTGTACACACTACCAAATAACTTATGGCAAAGCTCAGAAGGCAACATCCGTACCTGCTGGTGTGAGTACCAAAGCTTGTAGAATGTCAGAAAGGGAGATGATACCCACAATGCTATCTGCTTCATTCACTACCACCAAACGATGCACCTGTAAGCAGGGAAAATATTTTGAGGTATTTGCCTGACTTAAAATAATAGCTAAGGCAAAGAAAAACAAACAAAAAATTTAAAGTAATGCAGTATGAAGACAAGTAGAGAAAAAAAAAGAATGGTTCAAAATGTTAGCAACGCCAATCTCACACAGCAGTACAAACATGCTTACCCTGCACAAATGAAAACTAATACAGGTTTAAAAAGCACACAGCTATCTGACATGGCAAGAAAATCAGATCTGAAGTGACAGCCAAGCCAAGACCTAGGTCTTTAAAATACTTCTGCTCTCAAAAAGTGGCACTCAAATCAAACACTTTTCCCCAACTTACAGGCTCTGCCCAACTCAGCCTGCAATCTCAAAAAATAAGATACAGTAATAAAATGAGGCTTCCTTCCGAAAAGTACTTTCTCAACAGAGGCACAGCACTGAAACGTGTTGTATCTTGATGTGTCCAAGTTTGTTTTAATCATTTTTCTCACAGGGCTACACAGTTGAAACTTACTGCCAGATGGGTTTCAAAATCCTCATTTTGCACGAAGACAGAAAAAAAGATTCAACTTATCTGTGCAAACTCACTGTAGAGTTAAGGACACAGCTTGAAAGAAAGAATTACCAACAGTAAGATTGTATTTTTAAATATTGATTTTTATCATTACCAATCTCTTCTAGGAAACATTTTATACTACAAAATTTTTGTCCGAACTGTGGGGAAAGTAGGTGGATACTCCTATATCCTGAGGCTCATTGGCTGGAGCAGGCTACAGCAGTGAAAGATCACTGCACAACCGGGAGAGTGCCCTGATGTCAGCCCTGGCACCAGCATCCACTGCAACTGGGCACAGAGTTGTAGAACCTAAACGTCACAGCTGAACCAGCTTATAAGTGATACTAAAAAGGGTGTTTCTCAAAAGTTGAGAGCCTACTATGTGTTTACTTTCTACCTAAGTGAATTCTCTCTCTTCACTATTTTCACTTCAAATAATGAGATATAATGGTGAAAAAAGTGAAAAGGATTTTTCTCATCTTCTCTCAGAGGCGATAGCAACAGAGCTTTATCAGTCTGATTTAACAGATACGTTAATTTATGGTTGAGGTCAACGACTTTGCTGCTCGTCAGAAACAAGAAAAGAGGAGCTCTGAATTATCTGAACAGCCATACCCACCGGACACAGGGAGGAAAGAAAAGGAAGGGCAAGGGAGAGAAAATATTACTGCATTTTCTTTTTGATGAAACTATGCCAGTGATATTTTACATGGGGTATTAGTTTTTGCATATGTACATATTTAATCATTTTATTCTTCTCTCATTGTAATGAATTCAAGAAAAATGGACAGTGTAATTGTTCCATTTTCAGTAAGATCAAGCACTCGTCTGACTGCTAAAAGTAGCCTGTAGCTTTGACTGGCTCATTTCTACATATAATCTCACTATGTTTAGACTGAACCAAAGGGTAGGAGCTGTTCTTAAAACCCAAATGTCTAAAGCTTCTTAAGACAGTAATAAAATTATCCAAATTTGAAATCTGTATATCAGCAATGCTGAAATTATTCAATTTCAGGAAGAAGCTCGAGCAGATGCAGAAAGTTACAAGTAAAAAATGCCTAACAGAGGTTCTAAGGGGAAGTTTTGCTCATGTCAAGTACATGCATGGTTACAGCCCTGATGATGAAAAAAAAAAATCTTGTAATTGAAGTTAAAGCACCTAAATGGAGTTGGTCACACCGCAGAGACAACTGAACCTGGTAATAATGATTTTCTTCTGCAGAGAGGCATAACAGTGGAGGAAGACCTACATACTCATTCGCTTCTGCGTATAAGAAAGTTCCCAGTACTAACAAACAAGATAAACAGCACCAAAAGAATGGAAAGCACACGGATAAATCATTTGCAAGAACAGTTAGTGAAGGCTTCTTCACAAGAATTTATTTTCTGGCCCTGTTTCACAGTATTTGTATGAGAGCATTAACTAATTGCACCCATTAAATTTCCTGAACAATATGCCAATCAATCTAGGTATAAGCTGGAGTTTAAAGAATTATTTGTCTGCAAAAGTTGTGGCAGGCTTGGAAGAAACTCGACTCTTTCAAAAGAAGCTTAGCGCTCAGTTCAGTTAATATCATAAAACAGAAACGCAAATAACCAAGTATTGTTACAGATGTACTGTACAATATTTTGCACATCCCTATAAGCCTCTATAGCCTAAGTCTATAAAGCAAACTGATACCCAACACATGTAGTTACAAAAAAAAAAAAAACACAAACCACAAACTTTCACCAAGTAACCAAAATAACTTAGAAAGGATAAACTTATACTATTTATTAGTTTGGTAATACAATTTTTAACTGACAGTGAAGGGAAAAAATAAAAAGTGAACTTACCTCAGCCTTCACTATTCTATCCACAATGGTCTCCAGTGTTTCCAGCATACTACACTTTACAACACCTTCAAAATACTGAGAACGGTGCTGTAGGGCTTGCGTCACCGAGATATCTAGGTTATTATATGTTTTTTCAGCAGCAAGATTCTGAAGAAAAAAAAGAAAAAAAAAAGGAAAACAACAAACCCAAGGCACATAACACATCTCAGCACTTAGTTACAAAGTACTCAATAAAGTAAATATTTTGGCATCAAGTAGATACACATTTCTGGTGTAAATTGAGTCTATTCCAAGTCACATATTAAACAAAGCAGATGCTCTTCAGCTTCAGTTTTTGGTAAGTCAGGCATGCAATTGTTAAACACCAGATGACAGACTGGGTTAATTGATAAAACTGTTTTGCAATATGCATTAGGCCAATGAAAATCTCCATACTTTGCTATCTGATATTTGGCTCGATGTCACTCATCCTGCTTTTGCCATGAGTAGAAAATGTAAAGATCTGAAGTTCTACGGATTTCAGAATATACAGAGTATACTTTAAGAATACATAATTTTTCTGTTGTTTGTTTTTCATAGACACCAACTGCTCTGAACACCACCCAGGAAGTAGACCTTAGTGGATATTTAAATAGAGAACAAATTAAAGATTTTCTTCACCTTTCTCATCTGTGAGCTCAAACTCCCTCTTCTGGACTGTGCTGGCACTGCCATTTACCAACAATTTCTGTGTGTGTGTATATTCTATTAAGTACTATAAAAATAATATAAACGAAAACCTATCACCACCACTGAAAGTAAGAAGATTAAAAGAGTTTGAAAGCTGAAATTTTCAACTTTCATTTTAAGAACATGACCATGCTTGTAGCAAGAAGACTTAGTCCAGATCAGCAAAAGCTGTCTTTGTAGGTGAGACCACAGCAATATTTTCATAGTGTTGGCACATCCTGGCCTATTGATTTTGTGTCCATCCTTCAGTGCTTCAAGTACAAAAGCAGACCTTTAAAATGAAAACACTGGACCAAGCAATAAAATTAGATTAATTTTCGGCTAGAATATACTGAGATTGGTCAAGTTTTTGGATTGATTTACACGGAACATGGTAAGACAGGTTTGAGATGATCATGAAGATACAAGCAGTTTTAGTTGACTCATTTAACTAATTCCTAATGAAGGACATTAGGAGAACACAAAGAGCCCCTGCAAACTGAAGTCACCCTACCCGCAGTAACTAGTGTAATATAAAGCTATTTCTATACCATCACACCACTCCCAGGTTTCTCCCATCAAGAACCTGAAAATTACCTCGGAAGTGTATTAAAATGAAAGAAATCTATCAGCTTGGCCAGCTGTATTAACAGCCATCGCTTAAAACACTGATTTAATTAAGCATATTAGCCACATGGTTTAAAATTAAAAACCGTCAGTTGAATCTTGCAAATTCTATGTTCATTGGAAGTTCAGATTATTTTTTTTTTTCTTTTCAAGTTTGAAGATCAGGTTGGAACAGACTGAAGAAAAACTGGAAGCCTCAGAGATTATTATCTTTTAAGAATAGAAGCTAACAGCCAAAGCAAATGAAGTATTACATACCTTCAGGCTACTTTATTGTAAAGATACTAGAATACATCCACATCCAGACCCTGAAGATGTTCAAGGATGCCATACCACCAAGAACAAAGTATCTTTTCCTCCCCATTGAATAAGCAAATTAGTATACATGAGGAAAATCTCAAACAATAGATGCCCTAACTCATTTCTTAGTGTTTAAACAGTAGTTGTTGGATTTTGATTTTTCTTTTTTTTTTTTTTTTTTTTTTTTTTCTTCCCCTGATCCCAATAGATAATTTTTCCAAAGCAATGATCCAGCACCTTTAAAAATCCTATAATTTTTTGTTGCCCCATCACTTAAAATGAGAAAAGGAGTGAAAAACATAAGGAACCCTCTTCCTTTTGGTGTCTTTCTGAAAGGGAATAGGTAATAAAGGAAACATGTCCTGTCTCAAAGTCTAATGGAGTTACAAAACAAATTGAAACACCAAACCCACCAACTGCGAAATTTCACTATCTTTGATATGCAAGATCACTCTCACTACAGCTACTACCTATTCCCTGGCCAACCTTTATGGCAGAACAGGATCTTACGCAGTAGAAAATCCCAAAGAACAAAGAGACAAACGCCTAGGAAAGACAGGCAAGAACAGTGACAGTGCAAGGTTTTAAGAGCACTGTTTCTAGCCAGAGATATTTATAAGCTTAAAGTATTTCCATTTGGGACTATTCTCCATATTTCTGAAAGCATTATACATAGCATTTCAGACATCTGGATTCTTCATTAGGACAAGCAGGCTGCTGGAATAAGCAACTGGAGCACTTAAATCTCTAAAAAATAATGTAGCTATTAGAAGTTCCAATTAGAAGGCAGGTGCATACAGCTGTGAGGGGACAGGAATAAAAAACCCTAAATATATTTTTCAAGTTTCTGGAGACCACAAGAATAGAAGAGCCCTTGCTCTCTGAGGTTGGCAAATCATGGCATGAATCCGACTACGCTGTTGGACTCCTGAGGGAAAACCAGAAACAGTGGCCTGAACTAGATCAAAACCAGAAGGAATACAGATGCAATATTCCGGAGTCAGAGACTCACAAAAAAGAACAGGCCAAGTAGCTGTAATTCACTGAGAAAGTCAAGTCGTACAAAGTACCCAGACCGCATGAAGAAATCTGCATTCTCTTTGAAAACAGACTGTGGAACAGCAGCAGCTGGGAAAAGAAAGTCCAATCTCAAAAATAGAAACAAACATAAAAAGCCTATGCCCTCTTTTTGTAATAGTACAGCCAGATCTACTTTTGGGTAACATCCAGAGCAGTAGATGCCTGCATGCAAGCAGTATTACTAAGGATAGTTTAAATAAAAAAAAAAAAAATGCTGTGCAGGGTGAATTGAATCTGTTTTATTCCGTCTGTTAACTAAAGCCTAAGAGTGTAAAATAGCCAAAATTGACAAGTTAACAAATTAAATTTTAAATGCTTACTGCATATAAAATATTTAATCAATTTAAAGAGATATACTTACTATTACATCAAATTTGGAATAAATATCTACAACTTTTCCTAAAAAGAAAGAGAAAAGTTAATAAACTGCTTGAAATACAAAATTAGTTTTCTTGCTTCCTGCTTGTAATTATTTTAGAGTTACACAGAAAGAAAACAGACAGGTCAAGAAGGAGAGATGGAAAAAAACCCCAAACAACCCACCAAATCATGAAAGTTCTTCCAACCGACCCCCCAAAATCAATCCAGGGGTCAGCCCCATTTATCTTACCACACATTTGTATGCAGAAGACCGAATACACACCTGACTCATCCACAACAGGTAATGCCGATATCCTTCTCTCTACAAATATATTCAAGGCTTTAATGATAGGAGTGTCTGGATGTATGAAGGCAATGTTGTGGTATGTTCCTATTCCAAGTTCATCCAGATTCTTCTTCATAAAGGCAGGCTTTGGCATCTCTGACATCTAGGACAGTCAGAATGAACATTTTTACAGTGCAGTTTTCTGCACCTACCATGTTTTCTACACCTACCATGTTTCCATACAATTGGTCTATATTTTATGGAATCTGTATTCACTCATCCATCTACAGACTCCAATGTTACAGATTGTAACAGTAATCTGCTACTAGATTAACATAAAGCCAAACCAAGCTCAGATCTTGAAGCATTAGTTCTGTTCAAAGAAGCTCTAAAATAAGACTAAGTTTTTGTAAGTAAGCTATTTGCTCACTTATTTATTTTTGTAGTAACCCATCACTAAAAGCTTTTGATCCTGAGCTATGTCATTCCCACTGAAACTGGAGAGAGAAGACAGCAAAACATACTATATGCCGCAAGCTTATTTTGAACTCTTGTTGCTTTGTTTGGTCTCCTATTGATTCTTGTACTGGCAAACTACAGTGAGTAATGATAATCTTGTCTCTGGGACATGATTCATTTTTCTATTCATGTAAACAAGCTTCTGAAGCACTGTAGATCTTCCAGAAAGGACAGCAAATTACTCAAATAGGCAAGTCCTTGGTGTTTAGGTTTCTTTAAATGATTAAAACAAAGTAATGGTAACATACAGGTCCTACACCAAGATTTAAATTCTCTCTTATCAAGAAGAGATACACACAGACACAATGAACACGGAAGTTTATCAAGAAGTTCCTGTACTAAGACTAAAGTTACTTAAAGATGTCTACTGGGGGAAAAAAAAAAAAAATCAGTTAAGCAAACATAACTTTAAATACTTACAAAAAGCTGGAGGAACTTGAGGATTCTTTTATGGGTAAGTATATAAAGTGCATTTCCACTGACGGGATCTATAACTGGCAATCTGTGGATTTTGTTTTTGATCAATGAATATACAGCATCAAAAAGGCTGGGGAGAAAAACATTAACTTTTTTTTAAAAAGAATTCTAGCTGACAATGAGTAATGTCAAGTGATATATGCACATATTTACAACCCCCCGTGAAGTACATATCATGAGTAATTATTTGTATTATCTTTAATGTTATAGAAAACAGAAATTAAGGTATTTCAAATTAACTTTTGCAGCTGGTAAAACAGATCAACAATGATATGCTCCTGAACATCTAAAGCCAGTAAGAAAATGTGATGGAAAGTGACTTTTTGTGGTAGAAAGAATAGCAGAAATACTTCTGCACAAGTGTAAATTGTTTTTCCAGTAACTGCTGTCCTCACAGTATCCCTACACTCAGAACGGATATTCCTCTTCAAAGACAAACAAACAACAAAAACCAAAGTGTTCTTGCCCTTAATGCATCTCAATCCCAAACTTCTATAACATTGCCTAGGAAGAGACTTTTTATTGATAATTGCCTCTATGCAATTAAGCCAAATTATCTAATCATTTCACTGAATTATCATTGGGGATTGGCAAAAAGTTATTCTCAGTAGATCTGAAACATTCCTGCAGACACTGGAGACTACAATTTAGCAATACTCCAGCCTATGCAAGTCTACTCTACTTGCAAGTAGCACTTTTTTCCCCCCTTGGTCCAAGTAAGACTGTGATAAAACAGCTGACCACCAATTTTAATAAATTAGTAAGTAATTAAGTCAGTAAAACTTTGATAAAAGACACCTACTTGCTGGAGTAGGCTTCTTCTCATACACAATCAACCATATGTTCTGAGTCCATTACAGGGATGAACTATCCCCAGTTGATATACATGGAGCCAAGATTCCCACCCCTGCACTGTAGACTCTGCTACTGGAGCAAGCATTTAACCACTCTTAAGTGCTGCAGCCTGACTGTCACAGAATCTAAGTTCATTTCTGGACCAGGGCTTAAGTTGACTTGCTGTATCCTTTTACAGATGTCCTATTGCATCTTCTTCATTGCAATACTCTGTTGCTGCACTGTTGACTGAAAGCAATTATACTATTTTGTTGTCTTAACAATTTTCTTTGCAACCAGCTACCATTCAAAATACATTACTTATGACTTAATTGAACAACTTGTTTATGACTTAGTGGCAATTCTATTGAGGATACAGCATATCATTACTTCAAGGTAATCACCAGAGTTCCCTTCACCAGTTTCCTTTGATAGGGCATAAGCAATCCCATGCCACAAACTGAAAGCGAGAATCAGAACTTCACTGTCCGGTTCAGCCATCAAGCAGTACTCAAGTTGTTAAGTGATCAGCTAAAGCTGATCAAGTTACCTTTGGTAAGTAAGGTATAATGCCAGTTCAAAAACTACTTTCAAATTCCATCAAGAAGAAAAGGACAATCGTTTATATTTTAAGGAACACAACCTAGTAGTAGAGCAGAACAAAACACACAGATACTGTCTTTCCTTTAGTTAAGGAAAGTTACTTATGTTGCAGAATACTGTAAGTTTTCAATGACTATGATTGCGGAGAACAAGACAGCTGAAAAGCTCTGTACAGTTTTTGATTTTCATGAAATGAACACGACTTGCAGGCTAACTTGAAGGGTTATCATGTTGCCTTTTTTGCATATTTTTGGCAATTAATTTTGATCCATGTCTAGTTCATTTACCAGAAGAGTTACACTGATAAAAGACAAGAGTTAAACTATAAATTCTCTTCTTCCACTAATTAAAAAAATTCCTCACTCACAATAAAAAGCTCCCACATGTTCTTGACTAAAGGACAGTCCGTTATTATACTCTAGTTTACAATATAAATTGTTTATTATACAAAGAAGCCTTAAATTCAGTGTTGAGATAGAGTTAGTTTATTTCAAGTTAAGCAGACTGAAAAGCAAAATCCTACCTTGCATCTGGGGAGATGTTCACTAAAGGTTTAAATGTCTCTTGTAAATAAAGCTCTGTGTATAGAAAATTAATAGACCATTAGCAATTTATCTGAAAACATTAGCTGTTTAATGAAAACATTTTACAAATTCATTTGCGCAGAATTAAGTGGAAGAAAGAGTGCAATATATACAATTACTTTAGGTACTCTCCTACTTACACACATTCCTTTATGTAGACATTAAAAAGACATTAAAGTTTTAAAAGTGGGACTAAACTGATTACCACCAGGGGTCACTGCAACAACAGCAAATAATTCTTTACCAGATCCTTTTCTGAGAGGGTCTGCTGCATAGAGTACTTCCATATAATATTTCATGGCACAGAGTCTTCCTCCCCCCCACCCCCAAGCTTCCTCCCGGCATTCTGCACTTCTGTTCACACCCAGCATGTTCTAGGAATTCCTAGTCACATCATGCAGTTCATCCAGGCATAGCTTGCTGCTCCTCCATCAGTTTGCGCAATACGCAGGGTCATCTATTCATTCTGCATCCTGGCTCAGATACATTTCCATTCCACATACACTCATCAACTCTACAGCCATACATGCCACCTTACTCCAGTTTCTTTTTTTCTTTCTTAAAGAGCAAGATGGTACTTATCATGAACAAGTGGCAAAATAGCATATAGCCCAGATCATTCTAGTCCACATACTGTTTTGGGTAGAAAAATAAGCAGCAGGACCAAATTGACAAGCTTGTACTGTTCCTGCTTTCATTAAAAAGTATGTGGAGAGAGACAAGCTAAGTCTATATAAGTCTATGATTAATTAAAAGCACACTAACCTGAAAAACATTAGACCACTAAATTATTAACCAAGTAGTAAATATTCTTACCCCTCCAGGTTTCTATCTTGTGCTCCTCCAATTCATAAATCTGAACCTACAGTGGGTAAATGGAAAGTTTAGCTTGAAGTTAATGATTTGGGGTTTAAAATTAATACAGTATTATAAAAAAGAGAAACATTCCTTAGCAATAACGAGGAAAGGGTACAGTCCTGCTCAGTGCAGAGTACTATACTGGACCTATAATTTCAGGGGACGGGAAAGATCTTTTACCTGCCTAGGTTTGTAGTCTAAATCTCTTCTAGACTCAAAAGGCATCTCCTTGGTAATATATCTCACCTTAAAACAATCATGCCAGAGTAAACCCTCTGATATTTCCTGACAGACCCAAACCAGTAAAAAGCTTACCCTGCTCACTTGACTTCTTAATGCTAACAGAGATGAATTTTACTGTTACTTGATTACAAGAAGCAAGAGCGCATGGTTTCATGCTCAGTTCAATCAGAAGAAGCAACATTGTACTACCACCCCCTCTCTCAGGTTTAATCTTTTACTGACATTACATTCTTCAAATGTTTTCAGGCACTGCATCTAAGCCATGCATGCTCTCAGCATTTCTCCTGTACCAGCAATGTTGCTCATCTGACCTGTGTTCAGATGGTCCCAGGAACCAAATAGGCAAAAAAAAGTTACGGAAGTGTTGTTAGTTTTCTGCTGGTTTAGCTTCCTTAACTGGCTCACAAAAAAGGACAAGCAAATGATAACTGAACAAAGGATACTGCAAGACTGCACCATATGATGGCAGCTCATCATCAGATCAGATAAGCAATAACATCAAACCACCCTGAGGAGTCCCAACTTTGAAGTTTAAAACAAAACCGAAAAAGACATGGTCACATCACCAACTTCCTGCTGCTCAGCAGCTATTTCACAAAGTTCTTTGTCAAAAGATTGTATAACCACCCTACAGTAGCTCCTTTCAGCTTGCTGATGGTTTCTAAAAGTGTTTCAGATGTGAAAGCTACCTTTCTCTGAAGGCATCAAGCTGCAAGCCAGCCACTTGTAATAGCAATTGCACTTGCTATAGCCTAGGCCAAAGGTGCCCGTCATCCCCTACACAGCTCCTTCCTGTCGGGTATCTCTGCAAACATGGCTGAAGCAGAAGGTAAAGCATAGAAGTCTCCACAAAGCCTACTACATTGCTCTTTGAGCTAAAGGAGACTGCACTTAGATTACTCTCTGGAATTAGCATCTTTTGAAGAGTATAAGTAAATGTTAAATTGATATACTATAATTGGACTACTCAAAGATACCATTTCTGGATGACATAAAAGATACCTACGTAAGTAAGTTAAATCATCTTTTAGGGCACTTAACAAAAAAAGGCAGTTAAAACAGCAGACTGCAGTTCACAAGATCTACTGAAGGGATCAGAAGAAGAGGAGATGGCTTTAGATGCTGACAAGATGGGGCTAAAGCTACTCCTTTGACCACACTATGGGGAGAAACTACCTGAATGTTCCTCATCGATCATTTAAAGGCATTATCTAGTACATGAACAGCAACATGCTCCACACTGTATGTGATGTGATGCATTTAGAAAGAATAACTAAAACAATTCAGAGTTATATTTTCAGCATAATTTTACCTATTAAGACAAAAGCAGGCCCTGATGGAACTTTTTTTTTTTTAATAGAAGACTGCATCAATCACTTAAGTCAAATGTTGTCACTTCTCAGCTATTCCTCCTTCCTGTTGCCATTTTAAGCACAATCTACGGAATAGGGTGTTAGACAATGTAAACAGGAGTGACAACAGTCAGGTAAAGTTACATGGAAAAATTGGTAGTATAGGGGTTGAGGGTCATGACATTATGGAAACCGTTTTAAGGCAGTTATCAGCATGCAATCACTTTTCATTTTTTTCTCCCCCCACCCCTTGTAAATCTTCAGGGGGGAAAAAAAAATTTCTTTATCAGGAAGAAAGGATAGTGCACCACCGGCATCTGAAAAGAATTTCACTATGAATTTTTAAAAATTATCATGAGCTTTGAGAAGCCTAACACATCACAGATGTCTGCTTCATCCAACTGTTCTTGATGTTTTAGCTAATAAAACATAGTATGGATGTTTTAATTGGTAGAGGGGGAGTTGTGATTTGACAGGAACAAGAAAGAAATGTAAATGTTTGTATGAACATGCAAGCAAGAGAATTGCATCAACTGACTGCCAATGGGAATTTTAAATTACAGTTAATTGAAGCCAACAGATCTCTAACCGATTGTGCAACCCAGCCACATAACTAAAATATTTGCATATATTTAACTAGTTTAACTTGTTTATTCTACACCATTACTCCAAGAACAAAGTAACCTTTTAATACATCTGAGCCTCTGTAAGCTAGCATTCCGTTTAATTCCACATACTCCTTTCAGAATAGCTTTATCATAGTTATGAGACAAAGATGATTATATAATCATGTGAACCACACATAGCTACATACTTGATTTTTATATACAATTAAATTTTTCACGTAACTTTAAGGCATCCCCCCCTCAAATGCTTCTTGGTTGGTATCTGCCACTTATAAAGAGCTCCGATTACTATTGAAATATGTGCTTTGAAACAACCTGAGCACAAATAAACACAGTGATCAATAGCCAGGTATTTTCCTTCATACTTTTTATATCACATCTAGTTTTTAGTAAGTATTTTAAGCTAGGTCCTTCATCCCAAATGCATTAGTCATCACTTGCAACACCAAGTGGAGCCCCGTATCCAAAACAAAGGCTATCATTATGGTAAGTACCACACAAAACATAATAAATGGTTGTAGTCATTATGGAAATTCCTCATGTTTATACATGTATAACTGAAGCAGATAGATTACATTACCTGCCCAAGCTCACAGGACCTTCATGGCTAAAGCTGGGAACTGAACCCAGGTATCCAGATAGCATTCTATTATCTGGCTCACAAAGCCATCTTCTCTTTCAAAAAAACAACAGACCCCACAGTGCATATACCCATGACATATCTAAGCTTTCAAAGACTTAAATAATAGTACTCATCATCAATCTTTGAGTTTGATGTTTCAGTTTCTGTACTGTATGGCAAATGATAAAAGTACAGCTTAACAACATACTTACCATTGGAGACTTATAGTATCTATGCAGTATGTTAATGAAATCTGTAATCGTTAACATTCCTGCAACAAGGGATATATAAAAAAAAAGTTCTTCAGATATATACTTAACATACAGAAGTTTCATCTATTTTCTCTATTTATATTCACAATATGTAACTTAATAAACATTAAATCCATGTAACATACTATTTGTATAGGACTAATCAACAGTGGATTTCCCAATATATATATATTCACTTTCACATTGATACAATACCTCAGAATAAAAACACACATCTGAATTAATGTTCAAAATTATAATCTATGTGCTTCTCTTCTTTCAATCAGATGCAAAGAAAACCTTGAATTCAGACTGCATCTACCCCCAAAAGCATGGAAATAAAAGAGGGGGGTTAGAATCTCTTTAAAGGTTGGAGACCTATCCTTGCCTTTTGTTTTCTTTTCAAATAAGACACATTCTCATTATGTACTTGCCAAGTCAGACTCAAATGAAGGAACAGCAAGCAATATTCAGGAAAATGGATTATACTAAAGAACTTCATTCAATCATTTCTACAGTAATCCTCAACATCTGTATTGAAATGTGACTTTTTAAGAAAAAGAGATAGTACATCCATAGTTTATATACTTCAACCACTAACACCAAACTATGTAATATAATATTGATGATTAGTTTAGTTACCTGAAAACATTAATCTTTTTTGAGCTTTCAAGATCTAAATTTGAGATGTAATTGCTCCACTGTTTACTACTCTTACATCTAAACTGAAGAAACTAAGAAATGGGGAAGGGAAAAATTAATCCAGAGGTCAGCTTTAAATCACTACAGCTTACTTACAGACAGAAAATTAAATTAAAGATAAAAGACACACAGCATTCCTATGATGTATTATATGAAACTACTGCTCCTCCCCCCTTTGAATTTAAAATATTTTAACAAATGCTTGAATAAAGTATTCCCGTTCATTTCCAAGAGTGCTCAATCTGTATTCCAGGTCACAAGATGTACATAGAATAATATTTGTAACTGCCACTATTACCCTGTTTTCTAACTGCAACAGATACCTAATTTGGGAAGATTCTTGCTGTGGCAACTGATTACATGACTCTTAAAAAAGCAATACATAGATCTAATGGTTTTTGCCCAATATGGGACATACCTGTAACATTCAACATCAGTTCTGGTATTTAAGGATTTATCAAGTGCACCTTAATGAGAATGTGCAGCAGGGAACATGCTCGTATTGCATGTATATTAGGATACTGTAACACTAAATGCTTCTCTTTATAGTTCCTATTTTCAAAAAATTTTTTGTGACTGTTACCTTTATTTTTAAATACACAATGAAATGCAATATAAAAGAGACCAAACTTCACAAGGTCAGGGCCTAAACAAATCCTCATGATTCTCAAAGCACAGCAACACTATGAAAGCTGGCAACATTTCACTCCTCACAAGGAGGGAAAAAACCCAAAAACTAACCCCCTGGCCAGTATATCTCTAGGATGTCAGACCATGGCTAGCCTCAGACCACTATCTGCAACAGTAGAGCACCCTGGAAATTCAAGCAATCCTGAATTATGTTAGAACTACTTACCTACAAAACTCTGTTTTTTACTCTCCCACAGTGGAGCTGCTCTCACACCATTTGCCACCAAGGCAAAAAAGGCTTTCTTTACCTGCAAAATAATGAACAACTAAACAAATCTTTGCTCCTAAATTTAGCATACCAGACACCAACAGAAGAGTTTCGCCAGTTACTAAGAAAAAATACAGTACAAACAGGTAACTGGAATTCAAAACAGAATAAAAATCACACATACCAAATAAAAACCTCAAGCCTTTTACTTCTAAAATGGTTAAAAAGGTTAGAAAAAAAGCTCAGCAAAACCAGATCGGGTTTTGCTTTGTTATGTGAATATTCTATGTGAAAGCCTCTGATGAAGAAATAAGCTGATGCAGCTGAAAAGGTATGCTAGCTAATTTCAAATTTATTCCCATTTGATATTATCCATAAAAGTTATACCCCTCCCAAATCATGACACTGAATATGTCTGTAATGAACATTAATTATCGCAAGTGTCCACTCTACGGATATAGCTTAACATTTCAAGGTTGTGCTATATTCTAGTTAATGTTCACTATAGTAACAGTTGTATTATAAAAAAAAAACAAAAAACCCACACCCTGAAACAATAGAAGTCTCATTTCCTCTCCAGCTTTTAGACTCGTGATTGATACAAGTTATTTTAAATGATGAAAGTTAAAAAGACCAGCTAGCCTGTTTTGCTGCTAAAGAAGTGTAACCAAAGCTTTTCATTTTTTAATGAATTAACCCTCCCCAATTTCTGAATCAGAGGTTATAAGGTTATGCAGTTATTCTCAAAAGAAAATAAAAACTTCCCTGTGAACACTAGTCCTCTAAAGCATGCAGAGGTCAGGCTCTAGTGCACCTCTTGATGATAAGCCTAAGCATGTTATCATTCCTGTCCTGCCCACACCCCTAAATAGGCTTCATATGGAAAACACAGTACAGAAGTGATGGTTCTTGTCCAGGTCTTGACCTGGCACAAAACTAGGACATAGCCAACCTATATCTCTACATCCATGAAATTGGTCCCTGGTCCAAATAATATAGAAGTAGCAATTGCTTGACAACTGCAATCTGAACAGACCACAACTACACAGTGGTGTCTTTAAGTGTCTACTTTAAATTACGTTCTAGGGGCTCCTCTCCACAACAGAGTCAGGAATAAAGGGCTTCACGGTCAATGGAAGCAGCATCCAAAAAAGTAGGGGCAAACAAAAAAGTAGGTAGAAAAAAATAAATAAATTATGTCTGCCATTATTAACTACAACCTTCTTGGAAAAGTTTGCAAAGCCATCCATACGATAGCCAGTGTCATATGATATTTGAGAGAACCTCCATTTAGACTCTACTTAGTGTTATAAAGTAGCAGTTTAAATTTCTAAAAGTTAGTAAGACTTCTACTCTGCACCAAAATACATTACCTCTGTCTACACTTGAGTGATCTGCAGTGTTTCAAATACCTGATGTTATCCTACCACATGTGAACTCCAGTCTTTAAGATTAGCTTCTGAAAGCAAGCTGTATTTCTTGTGACCTCCACGCAGCCTGCCTGCTTTCTCTCAGACCATGAGAAGCAAATCTACTCTCCTGTCCTCAGCAGATGACAGTTCTCAAAGCTGCCTCCTTACTTTACAGATGCTTCTGCCATATCATCAATGAACAGGAATAATGATGTGCTAAATAACCACCAGCCCTAAGCTGCATTAAAACTGAAGAAGCCATGTGGGAAAAAAAAAACCAACCAGGGCCACAAAGACTGTAGGATAAACACCACATAGTATTTATCCAGAAAATGGTTAAATAGAAAGGTCCCAGAGGTATTCAGCCACCTCACTGACACTGGGAGGAGACAGGTAAAACAAACATTTCCAAATCCACCGCAGGAGCATACTAACTCATAAGGAAGACTGAAGCCACAAAGAAACCCTCCAGGGAGACACATGGAGTGTTCCCACATAACAGCATCACACTTACAGTTAACGCAGCAAAAGCTAACAGCAGTGAGCTATTTGGGGAGCAGATATAAGACAGAAGCAAGTTCACACAGACTAACTCCACCTCAGGGCAAAATAAATTCTAACCATTCTTCATCAAAAAAGAGGAAAGTACACTCAAACTGCCTGAAACTGAGAACCTTCAGCTTTGATAACTTTCTAGAATAATAGCTGTCACACGAGTTAACAGTCACTGTCGACTTATCTCCCAAGTCTTCCACAAGAGTAAGATGTTCGAGTTGTATCAGAGCAAGAAGATAACAGCTGATCTATTAAAGCCAGGGGGAAAATAGCTGTCTTCCAGATAGCAATCATGCAACAAAACTCCTCAAGCAAGTTTACAAACTCTGTAATTGGTAACCTGGAAAAGAAGCATGCCCACAGCAGAAAAGATGCAGAGCGCCAACTACACGACTTCAGGCAACATCTAAATTCTTGTTACTACTTCTTTCTCAGAGACAGTAGCAGCAAACACCACCACCTGGCACAATGTTCAGATGGAAAAATTGAGGTATTATTCTAGATGCATAAGTGATACTTCGAGACAATTCCAAGATATACTAGGCAAGAAGCTGAGCTTGTAGTCAATCCAGAAGGAAAAGAAAGTTTCCTCAAAGGATCAGTTCTTGCCCTGATTCTGTTTATTTGCAAGTTATTTGTCTCAAAGAATCTCAAGAATCTTCAGTTAGATGCCATCTTGACTAGCTTTAAAAGACATATTTTGGAAAAAACTGAGGGCTGCTGAACAGATACAGCTACCCCAATAGCTCAGACCTAAATCCTTCATAAAAGACAGTGAGTTCAGCTTGGGCATTAGGATATTAAAAACTTGATGTAATAAATCACCAAAGTTTAGTAAAGAAATACTTAAACTCATCCTTCTGGGCTGTCCTCCTAGACCACAGTTAAAGTGACATTCCTATTGTTTTCTTCAGTTTTATAGCAGAAAGTGTTATACAGTTACCTTTTAAATAAAATAACAATGCCATCAGTTCTTAATAGTAACACTTGTCTCTTACTTAAGTAAGTTAATGACAAAGCAAAAAAGCAACTTAATTCTTATTTGCTAAAACTGCTTCCAAGCACAAATGTACACTCATCCACTCACATTTTCCTCTAGTTTCTGTGGTTTACCAATTCCAGTTGCCCTAAGTACTGCTTGGTGGCCAGCCAAAGCACTGGGGTGTGGAGCTGGGCTGCCGTCCAGCACATTTAGATGTTTCAGTGATGTTCATACAGAAAATACCCAGAAGGACCTTCCTTTCAGATTATATATAGTTTGTAGCCTTTGAAGATCTCTTACTATGTGCCATCATTGGACCTCCAACAGTGTTGTTAATTCTCGACCCCACCAGCGTTGCTCTTTCTCTGATCTTGAGTGTTGGACTGGCCTGACCTTCAGAAAACCATTGTTTGTCAGCCAGATCCCATAGATTGTTGCTGTTCAACACCATGTACAAACATTCTTCAAACAAAGCACTTTTGTTCTTATTAACCATGTAGTGGTCCTAACAAACACAATGAGCCATTAAAAATGGCATTTATCTGCCCAAATTTAGAGGTTGTTCTGACATATATGCTGACCTTGCATGTTTGCTGCATCTCTTCATAGCCAACCAGGGGAAACAAGTAATTTCTGTGGCATGACTCACCAGCCTTAGAGACTAAGTTGTATCCCACAGATGCCATTTCCCCCTCACTGACTAGAAGATGCTCAGATATTTACAGTTAGATGAGGAATCCTACTTTATGTGACTACTTGTCACAGTTCTGCCCCTTAAGTAGCAAAAAAAAGTTCCTTTACAGCAAAGGAACACAGCAACTGAAATCCTATGTGTGTCATAGATCACCTCAACAATAGGTGCTATTATACTACAGTGAACAGAACAAGCTTTTCTTACTACAGGAACTCATTACACCAGCTGCAAATATGCTGAATAAAAGAACAGGCTAATTTAGGTTAGACAGGACTTCTGGAGGTTGTCGCTCCTGCAGACCATTCAAATATTTCCACTCTAAGTCTTAAGGAGGACATAGCCTCTTCCAATATAACAGTCACTACTAAGAAAGATTGAGTTCGACCCAAATGTAGGAAGTCCTGTTTTTCAAGTAGTAGAATATTTGGAAAACCTTGTCCCTTACGGTTAGGGAGCTCCAAAATAGCTTGATTTCAGATAGCAACACCAGTAATGGTGGTAGCAGACGGAAGATCTCACCAGACTACAGAACAAGTTTTTCCTCACTGACAGGAAGTACTGAAATGGATGCTCCTCTCTCTGGTATACCAGGCCAGTTACCTTACAAGCTCTTGCAGAAATGCTCTGTCAAGTAAACATCTGTGAATGAGGGAAGCATCTGAAAGGAAAACTGAGGATGAGCTTGTTTCCAAAAATTCAGCATGTGTGCACACACACACACTTTTATCTCATTTTACCTAACACCATGTTATGAAAACTGTAACTACATGCGTAAGTGACCAGTGGGTCTCAAACTTGTCTTGCAGGACTGTCCCATAAGGTAAGGACAGTGACTGCTGCTGTTGCAATCACAGTTCCCGGTGCTAGAGGGTCAGTGCTGAGTAGAGAATGCTACCATGCTGAAAGACACACAACTTGGCACCTTTGTCTCAATGCCAAAGTTAACTTGGAAAACCTAGGAGGTAACAGAAGTAAGAAACATAGTTATGGAACACCTTCATATATGCCAGTACCAAGCAAGAGGATGATGCAAAAGACTTGGAGCATCAACAGTGTTAAAAGATATGCCAGAACTTCTGTGGTATGGCTGTCATTCAAAGGCAAGATGATAATTGTGCATCTCTCTCATCTCATCTTTCACTGTGTAAACCAGCACCAGGACTTTAGCTTTACTTGCCTGAAAAGCCCCAAATGTAACCCCAAGAAATGTCTATTTTATCAGATCAGAATAGAAAGGAAGGAGCTCCTTCTTTTATTTTTTTTTGGCACAGAGCTCCTATAAAAGCACTATCAGACCCAGTTGATCCTTGACACTTTTATCATCTCTGATTCCTGATGGACAGATGCTCAAAGATGAGCTAGAGCATTCATCATAATTTTCACTGGATACGTTGACA